AAGAGTGACTGTTTGAAAAGTTTATCAAGTACTGAATGGAAGAGAAAAAAGGTTCGAAAGTAAAAAAATAGGGTTTTTTCAGCGTAAAGTAACAAACTTTAAAAAGTTCGTATCTTCTCAACAAAAAGCCTTGGAGAGTTGTGAGTAGTCTTATTTTGTAGAGAACACTTTACTGTATAATGCACAATATTTAAAGAGGAGTTACGTTTCATTCTCTCTGACGATGCACATTAGAATTCGACAATATATAAACTACTGGATAGAGGAAGTCTTCGTCTACAAGCTCATACATATTCCGTTTTGGAGTCAAACATCACCCTGAAATTTATAGTCGCCTTTGCCAACGAAATGTGAAATGTCATGAATCTGAAAGTTCTTTTGTCTTGTTAATCTTTTTACGATTGATACCTGTATACTAATAATAACATTATATTCTCTTTATTAGCTCGTGAACCAATGCCAGCAATTACTCTCGATCCACTTATTCATCTAGAAGATCTTGATATTCAAAATATGTATTCATTAACTGAGAACGAATTGATTCAATTATTTAATGAATCTTCTGTATCAAGAAAAAAATTTCAATATTTAAAAAAATTATCATTACCTCGATATGCTACAGATAATATTATTGCATTAATATCACGATCAACATATTCACTAAAATTAACTTGTCTTAATTTGAGTAGTTGTTCATCTATTACAAATCGAACAGTCATATTTATTACTAAATACATGCATAATTTAATTGAATTAAATCTAAGTTATTGTTTGAATATCACCGATTTTGCATTATTTGGAATACCAATAAAAACAAATGAAAAATTAATTGATTGGTTAGACGAACAAGAAATTAGAAAACAGTTTATAAATGATTTAATATCTTTATCACCGACTATTTTCAAGTATTCAGAGATACATGATCAACAAGTTTGCCATTGTACACAGATAAATGTATCATCAAAATGTGCATATTTAACTCTCGATTATTCTAAAAAAAGTAGTTTCGAATCAATATTATCAATATTAACAAATAATCAATTATTTTTAAAATATTTTCATCCAATTAAAAAGCTAAAACAATTAAAACGATTATATTTGAAACAATGTATTCAATTAACTGATCTAATATTATTTTATGCATTAGAATTTCCCACATTGGAAATATTAGATTTAAGTTATTGTGAGCTATTAACAGATAAATATTTACATCTAATTGGAGAAAATAATCCTTGTCTTGAGTTGATCAACATCATTAATTGTAGAAATATATCCGAATATGGAGAAGAACAATTGAAAATGAATGCCAAACGTCTAAAACTATTCGAAGATTAAAACAGTCAATCTTCTACGATATGCCTTTAAGATTGTTTCGTCTCTCTCTCTTTATTTTCACTCTTCGTAGAAATGCCATCAAAATTAAACAAAAAAGTAATCAGGACTTGATACTTTAGGATATAGATCAGAAACTCTTTTTTCCATTTTTTTCTTTACGTTTCAACTTACTAAGCATTTCTATTGTCAAGTTTTGTAGATAACCCAATTCTTTTCGACCATTCGAAAAAATCATTCGATCGTTCGAGCTGAAATTTTTTTATTCGAGGCACGTGAGACTGTATTTCAATTATACTTTTTTGGAATTGTTTAAAAAGCGGTCCCTTCTGACTCATATTAAAAATACTGAAAAGTCTCAGAAAAATCGAGATTTTCATTTTAAAAAAACGTATAACTCGGGAAGAAAAGATTTTGAAATAATTCCAACAACAATATATTTGAAGAAAAGTCTCACATATCTCTGATCAAAATTTCAGCTCGATCGATTGTATGATTTTTATAAGTGCCGTAATCTGACATACTAAAGTATGACAAAGCAAAAAAATGGGTTTTCGAGAAAAATCTGCAACGAAGAACAGGCGTATTTATCACGAAAAACATGAAAATTATTATTATCTACATTTTGTATCCAAAATAGTATACGTGCATCTAATCGATCATTCTGCATCCAACGTACATGCATCAACATGTCCATGTTTTTTAGGCTTAAATCTGCATTTTTCGCGTTAATTCCTTTGTAGGCACATGTATATTGCATACGCCATGATCAATGAGAAGTATATACTTAAATTTTTCGTCTCTCCTTTGAAAGGGCTTTCTGAAAGCTCGATGTTAGAAACGAAAAACGATATATATATATTTTTCTCGAAATAAAAACTGATCCAATCAGCAAGAGGAGACTTAATAGTACATAAGTAGGTAAAACAATCTTTTTTGATTTTTTAATTGAAAATATTGATGGTGGGAGCGAAATGATCCTTAAACAGCTCGTTGTTTACCTGTAATATAAGTTAAACAAATGATGTATCAGTACACACAAAAATTAGTCATTTGAAATTTATAGTATTATTTTGTTATTTCAGTGTAATATATGGTTGTTAGACAATGTTTTATTTTTGTGAAAAATAAAATAATTGCACTTATTCTCATTCAGTTGTCGTCATATATATATATATATATATACGTTTTTCTGTGTATACATAATATATGAAATATTTGTTAAAATTTCCATTTTCAGATATTGTATTTCTAATCTGATTTTTCTAATTGTTCTTTAAACAATAACATCGTTATGGTTAAAGTTCTTTTAACAAATGTTGTTGTGCATAATAATCCATCAAAATTTTCTTCTAATTTTAAATTTGAAATACAATTTGAATGTCTTGAACAATTAATGCATGGTAAATTAAATAATATAATTTTTTTGTTATTATTAATTATTTTCTCGAAGTATATATGTATATGTATTTGTGTGTGTACTTTTGTATACTTTAAGAATTGGAATTTAAACTTATTTATGTTGGTTCGGCTGAAACATGCGAACATGATCAAGTATTAGATGTTGTCGTTATTGATGCTGTACCAGCTGGAACATACAAATTTTTATTTGAAGTATGTGTATAACTAAATTATTATTGAGTATAGATTTATTTTCTATTTTAGGCTCCACCACCAGATAGAAATAAAATTCCTGTGGATGATGTTGTTGGTGTCACAGTTGTATTAGTGAAAGGAATGTATCGTGATCATGAATTTGTTCGTGTTGGATATTATGTGTTAAATGAATATGATGATCCAGAACTTAAAGAAAATCCACCAACAAAACCCGATTTTGATAAGGTATTTACGCTATTATTATCTTTTATTTTAGAATTCTATGAATAATAATTATTTTTAGTTATCACGAAATATTGCTGTTGGTGATCCACGTGTAACAACATTTCCAATTAATTGGGGAGAAAATCCTGATAGTGTTCCATTTCCACCGTTATCAGAAGAGGATCAACAAATGATGGTTAATGCAATGCAGTCAGTATCCGTAGAAAATGATGATGATATTGTTAATCAATTTGATAGTAGTCTTAATGATAATTTTACGTCAATAACAACGAATACATTCGATGATTTATCAATGGCAAATACAAAAATAACAGAAACAACAACAGCCATAACAGTTATGGAAAGTAGTGGTGATGTTTTTCAAACAACAGCAGCTTAAAATTTTCAAAAAAAAAGAAAATTATTTTTTTTAAACGTTGGATTCTCTATGTTTGTACATTATGTACAGAATATTATATCCGTAAGCAAAATTTTCAAGTTTTTTTACGAATTGAACGTATGTTAAATCTTGAAAATTTTTACTTTTGTCTGTTTGATTTCTATGAGATCATCTGTTATTTTTTTTACTATTCGTTATTTTTGTTTGAAAAATATGTTTGTGTTTATTTTTTTTCTTTTACTATGGTGCTGACTGACTTCATATATATTTTTTCCACTGAAATTGAAAAGTATTTATCACCGACTCTTTGTACGTAAGTAGTTTTACAGTAGATGATTATAATACTAATTGAAAAGTATGTGAGCTTTTTTTTTTTTTTTGTTTTGGATGCATATATCCAACAAACTGACTTATATTATGCAATAAATAACAAAGAACATGTGAAATACAGAAGCGAATAGTCAAAAGAATAAGGTGAACCAAGTGCGTTTCGTACTTCTAGATATTTATAATTGATAATTATTTTGTTAAATTTAGCTGTTATCAGGATTCATCTAATTCTTGTCACTAGCTACTGGTTTATAATAAAAATTTGTCTCATTTCAGATGTTGTGTCTACTACGTTTCTCAAAGTCTACTTTACCTAATGTAGCTCTAATTCGTTGTTATGCTACGGATAAAAAGCCAGCAGGTGGAGCCTTGACGAGTGCTTCGATGAAACTTGGTGCTGGAATTATGAGTACGAGTAAGTTTCGACTAATATTATATTTAGACAAAGAAAAAATTGTAAAAAACGTTTTTTTTTTCTCTAGAAAAAGGGGCAGTTATTACTGCTCCCATCACAAAAGAACTTGATGCGGAAACAGATCCTGTCAAATTAGTGAATTATTGTTCTGGTTTAAATTATAAAAAGGATCAAGAACCAGTAAAACTAAAACCAGATAATGAATATCCGGAATGGTTATTTAATTTATATAATTTAGAAAGATGGTATCCAGAAGATCTTGAAGATAAAGAAACATGGCGTTATTGGAGACGATATCGTAGAGATGGACGTAGGGCTATTGCAATAGCAACAAAAGACCGTTTTCCCTTGCGTTCGATACCCAAATGGCTTCGAGAGTTGAGGCCACTATGTTGAAACGGGTTATTTTGTGCGCGCACTATTCGGCTTTTTTTGTGTTGTGTTTTTCTAATATATATATATATAATAAGACAGATAACTATGTTTCAAATGGAACAATCAAACGAAGAACATTGTCTACGATTTGTAGTTCGAAAAAGAATTATTATCAATAACTTGAACTGGCTGCTTGTGAAAGGTGTTTGACAGGGGAATGAGTTATTTTAATCGTTTTTTCCTGTTTACATGAATAGACAGCTTAAAATGTGTTTTTTATAACTGGAGTTAAGTGGAATCTTGACTTCTAGTGGTTCAACTGGTATCGAATTTTTCTGAAGTTTTAGGTTTAATACGCCAACTTGAGATAACATTGAAATGTTTATTTTTGAAAATGTATCAGTTATTTTTATCCGTTAAGCTCTGAGTATAGAATAAAAGCAATTTACTAAAGTTATTTTCTTGTTTAAAGTTTCCTAGAAACCGTTTTGTAAAAACTATAACATTCTGTTTAATGTTTTTGCATCTTTTTTATCAATAAGAAATATAATAGTCGAAATACCGTACATTTTTCAACAAGTTTTCATGTCATTGTAATACATTCGATGTGAGTTATGACTTCATTACTCTTAAGTAAAAACAGCATGGAAATCCTGCTATCAGATTCAGCGTGATTACGTATGTTTCATACGATTTCTACTACACAGGTTCGGAAACTTGAGAAAAAACCGATACCTTCCAAACCACTAGAAGTCAAGGTCTGATTTTACTCCAGTTATAAAGAGCACATTCTAGGCCATCTGTCAATTTAATATTTAGAGAACCAGATTGGTTTTCTGACGATCCTCTCAAAACGCTAATTTTGAAAGAGATTTCAAAATTTGTTCTGTTTATGAACAGACGTGCCTCTGACTTGTCTATCGATTAGCGAAAGACGAGATTCTCTAGCTCTTTTTGTTCTCGACTTATTCGGAAAAAGGATCGAGTACACTATTTCACTGGACACAAGAGTATCGTGACCAACGGGAGGTTCACCCTCACCCTCACCCTCCACCCAAAGATCGTGACACTCCTGATCGGACAGACAGTGGTTAATATATATTTAGCTAAATACGAGTTTAAATTCCAGTACCATTCCAGTCATTCGTCGAAATCATGGATCAAATCCTCTGTTATATTAAACAATAAAGTTTCAAATATGGATTGTCATTGTATTTATTTACATCAAAAGTATATCACAGAGTTGCTTTGATGGCTTTGTTTGTCTGTGTAAATTTTTTGTCGTGCGCATAAAAAGTAGACAAATTAAAACGAAAAAAAAACAGAGAAGAAGAGATGCAACGACAAATAAAAAAGGAGACAAAAAAAGTGACACACGCAAGTGGCACACACATACATATATATGTATATATGCATTTAGAGCAATCTAAAAAACATGATTTTGATCAGACATAAAGTAATAACAGTAGCACAAAACTTGACAAAAGAAGTATGTGTTTGTGTTCTCTTGTTTTATGTTCCTTTGTTCAAATAAAATTTTGGACGGAATAGTGTGAGTTTTTGAAATAAAAAAAAATAAAATTACAAATAAACACGTAAAAAAAGCACGGTCACATACACCACCATTACAGATTGGAATAGGAGACCCTACAGTTTCCGTTTGTTGACAGTCTTCGTTGAGTGTTATAAATCAAATTACTTCTCGTTGTATCAGACGTCTTGGTGCAATTACAACGTTCTACAAATAATATCTTTCCTATCTATGATTTTAAAAACCATACTGTATTGAATTTGTATTTTCAATCGATCATGATGCTGTTCATAACATATTCGAAGAACTACATATTCATTTTCGTTAATAACCAGTTTTTTTCCGGTAGGAAAAGAAAGAACTGGGGCTTATATCTAAAATGGTATCGTTTTAAGTAAGTTATACACAATCTCGTATCAAATTACTATCTCTCAAAGTCAGCAAGTTCGATAAGTGTAATTTTGATCACAATCCAGATCTTTACCTGTCTAAGTTTTTCATAATTTCCTCTTAATTCATGGCTATAATTGAACGGAGGGCTTTGTGATTATCAGTAACTAGAGAAGACCTGATACTAAATCAGCTTGGTAAGACACTTATTACTTCGGGAATGTCATATTGAATCATGAACATGGCCAACATAAAGGAGAATTAATTATGAACTAAGTGTCATATCAGTAAACTGTATACGTGGCAAAAGAAAGGTCGAAAACTATAGCAAGTTTAAGATTCTTCTTTAACCTAATGGTAAGTAGTCTATTAAATACTTTTTCCTTCAACTTTCACTCATGTAAATTAATGAAATCCTACCCTAGTAAGAAACCTGTACATTTCTTAACAGGATCTTAGAGAAACGCTTCAAGAATCCTTTGCGGATTTAGTTTACTCTTAGAAAGGACTCTAAAAAAATTCTAATCCTAATAAAATCCGCACTTCCTATCTATTTCCTACTAGGATCCTGTAGAATCTTAAAGTTACCATTCTAGTAGGAAATAGATGAGCAGAGCGTAGGATTTTATAATCTTTGCTTCGTTCATACAATGAATAAACCATATACTTCCAAAAACCTTTTATTCTTATTAGACATCACTTTGCTCTTCAAATCCCACACAGAAAAAACTGTCTGATACATATTCCAACAGAGTGAAAAATCCCAAAATGGGTATTTTGACACCATCCTAGAAAGAAAGACGGAGTCGAAACCCCGTTTTATATCAAACTTTCATACCCTTCCGATCCCTCGCCACCCCGTGAGAAATACCGCATGACACGTCGAACGATCATATTAGACGACTAACTCTTATCAAATTTGATCCCATGTTTTTTCTCTTAAAATATGATCGTTAATTAGTTACGAGCGAACATCGAATACTTGTTCATTTACACTCGAACATTCTGAAATTATCAACGCACACACATTTCTTTTGTCAGAAAAGATTACGTGAACAGATAGATTTTCTTGAACAGTGGGAGATTAGTGTTTTTTTATAGAGACTAAATAGATTTAGTACTAAAATATGGTCTTGTTAGAAGAAGTCAAAGATAAAAAAAAATAGTTTGATTACGTTTAGTTGTTAACTATACTTTCAATGGTGATAATTCTGAAAGTTTTACGAAGAACACAGAAATGAAAAGAGTCTTCTTTCACTCCGGGATCTAATTTTACTGTTCACAAAGGAAAAATTGACATGACACAATTTCTCAAGAACATGATAATGTTCAATTATACAATTCTTATCGTCTGGTTAATAAAAAATAACATACTCATACATTCGTTAGAAGAAAAAATCAAATGGTTAAATTTTTCAATAGTGACAGAAACTTATTATATATAAAAAAAAATTGAAACCATAAAATAGATTTTACTGTTTCAACTCAAAGAAGTCATATTGTGTTTAATGGATATACTGTTATTTTTTTTTAAATTGAATCGTGTACTCACGTCTTTATAAAAAAAAAAATTAAAAAAAAAAAAAATCTAAGAATATCATATTATTGTTGTACACTTGAATAAAAAAATACTCTCTATATATATATATATAGATTAATATGATAGAAATTCGAAAAAAAAAGAAGAAAATCTCGTTTATTGTTGCATGAACATTATGTTACCTAAGACAATGTCGTCGTATATATGTGCTTATCAGAAATTGACCCTTATTGTTTTGTTTGCTATGAAATATCTACTTCTTTGTAATATCATACAAATCCGCAAGGGTGATTTTATTGTATTCTCTTTTTCTTTTCTTTTTTTTTTTTTTTGTTCACTGCTATTCAATATACTTAAAGAAAAAAAAATTACGTTACACTTTATAAGCTTTCAGCAATTAACTTGATTATGTAAAAAATTTCATCATATGTTAAAGTTGAATCATGGGGTACCAAAAAAGTTATATATGCACATATATATATATGTTTATGTATGTATGTAATATATGTGCATGAATATGATGTTTTATATGATACCATGGTACGATCTCTTCATACTTACAATTGTAAAGATTGACAAAAAACTTCCTGTTTTTTAAATAAATAATCTTATTCTACTCTTTATATTGTCAATCACCAGTGTCCTTTCCCGTGTTTATGGGCGAGCGACATGTAATCCTTATACTTTACCTTAAAAAAAAAAATTGTGACTTTTTTTTTTTAAGATAAATACTCGGAAAATATGGACTTATTTTTATAAAATAAAAAAAAAAAAAGAATAAAAAGAGTGATCATTTTTCTTTTACTTGTAGAGTATTATAAAATGCTTTGTTTGACAAACGATGAAGCTATCGAAGAAGGAAAAAAAGAGAAATTAAAGTGGTGCATAGAGAAGATACAAAAGGGAAAAAAAGTATCACTTTTCTTTGAACAAAAAAGGGACATGATGAACTTCAGAAAATAGTTTGGTCACTGCTGAATTTTCTTTAAAATCATTTAGTAGACAAATTGTTTGATAAAAAGATGATGAACTGTTTATAATTACGCACTATTAAGATCGATAAAATTCTATAAATGATTGTCTTAAAATTAGTTTTATAATTTTTTCACATGAACTATAAGTTAGTTTTTGCATGAATAGTTCCTATTATCTAAAAAGTCAAATAAAAAAGACGGTACAGAAAATAACGATTGAATTTGTACAAAACAACAATAACAACTAGCAAACATTAAAAAAGTAATTGTTGATGATTTTAATAATCTATCATATTTTGTTATAGTTTTGTTTTATTACTTACATGCGATTACATCTTTGAAAGAAATATTTCTCATAAATTATAATATCCTAGAAAGTATTCTCAAGCAGATTTACTACACTGAAAAATTATGATATAACCTGATTTCTTATCGAATATAATAAACTTTTAACTTAGTAAGTTGAAAAAAATAGTTACATGTTTCAATTGTTTCTTGGTTACGAATATTACAAAAAAAGAAAAATCCGAGAATAATAATGTTTGAATAAGAATATGTGTGTGTGTGTCCATCTATTGTCAAACAA